AAAATAAAGTAAAATAAAAAATAAAAAAATGAAATAGCATGGACGAAGAAGAGAATTTGGAAAGGAAGCTTATTCCCCAGGGGCGGTGCCCATCCTGAGTACTGCTGTCCATTCTGACACACAAAAGGTGTTTGTATGCATTTGCCTGAATTTTCTGCTTCTATTCCCACCCGAACCAAGCTGAGGTTTGTTAGCGATGCTTTCTTATTATTTATTCATTCTTGTTTTTTGAGACAAGGTCTTGCTAGGTAGTTCAGGTTGGTCTTGAAGTCATTATGTAACCCAGGCTGGCCTCAAGCGCACTGTGATCCTCCTGCCTCAGCCTCCCAAATACTGGGATTACAGGTGTACGCCACTACACCTGGCTTTATAATTCTTTTTTAAAAGAAATATGAGTAGGTGGGCACTGACCAAGGGTCACTTTGTGAGAGAGACACAAGACAAACACTGGATAACCCAAAGGGTATCTGATGGTACCTTCACGATGAACTCAACACACACAAAAAGAACAAGCCACCAACAAAAGTGCTGCCAATTGTCATGACCTTGTGCCAGATATTTCTTAACCATGTGCTGATTCAAGTAGCAACATACAATTTAGGGCAGGGTTTCCTTTCCTTTCCTTTTACATGAGGACTCTGAGATCCTGGGCCATAAAGCTTTTTCTCTGTAATCATGCAGCTGACGATTGAACCCAGGCCTTGTGAAATGTCTCTGAGATGCCCCTGTCCCTGCAAGAATCTAGGCATACTGACCAGTAATGCTGCCTCCTGCGGTCACAGGACACACGCTCCTCTGCTGGGCCTCCTGGAGTTCTGGGCGCGGAGTTCTAGGTGCCGGCTCCCTCTTGGGTGGACCCAGTTCGTCTTCTTTCTAGAAGAGTGAGCCGTCCCAGAGCAAATCTCGCCTCATTCCAGCTGCAGGCTCTCAATCACATCTCTGTTCCTGCCGTCAGAGAAGGCGGGAGGGAGGGTGGGGGAACATGGAAGCCAAAGATGTGGGAGCTGTCATGTGTGGGCCCAGGCGCCACCAGTGAGGTGCAGCAGGGGGGCCTCCCCGGGAAGCGAGGAGTAGGGATGGTGAGGCTTTCACAGAGACTGGTTAATTTAACAATGTCACACACACATGCAGTGGCTCAGGAGTGATCTCATGTAACCCTCAGGGCCATCCAGACAGGTGGGTGCAGTCAATGGGAGGATTCTACAGGAAAGGACCTGAGACTCCGAGACCAGGCACCCCCTAAGTGCACCAGGCTGACATGATAAGCACTCTAGGATCCAGGCCGGGGTCCATCTGATGTCACAACTCCCTCTCCACAAACCCTCCCAAGAAATACACGGGCTCGGGGAGCCCCGTTCAACATGGGGCTTTGCTGAGAAAACCCACGCGGGCTGGGGTGCAGCAGGCAGAGCCCGAGCCCTTGCCCTGGGCTCCTGACCCCAACGGGTTCCTACCCTTGGCCCCTCCCCAAGTCTCTCAGCCAAGTTTTAGTCCATTTTCAGAATCTACAAGGAACTGTTGTTTCTCTGGGATGTTTACAAATGGCCCCGAGTGGGAGGTCAGTTTGGGAAGTGGTGGAGGGTTAGGATCATTTACTTACTGACTCATTGCTGGTCACGCATAAGAGCCATTATCTGGCTTACAAGCTCCTCCCTGGGTGACACTATACACACATGCCCCAGCCCAGCAGACACCCCACAAATGACCAGCTGCAGCTCAGCGTAGGTAATGGTACAAAAGCCCTTGATGCTGCTGAAGTTGATGCAGTTAGGATGACCCGGGTGTCCCCAGAGCCCCTCTTAGCGCCTGGCCATTGTGCCACACTCTGTATTCACATCTCTGGAAAACATTTCACATATTTCAGTAATTTGTTCTCACATACTGATTGCCAAGACTTAGCCAGATTAATTTTGAGAAATCTTTTTATAAATGGATTTCTCTGGGGTAGAGGATGATTGCCCCAAATTTCTCTGCAGTAAGTCTGCCAACATGCACAAAATGGCATGAAACTGAGTCACTAGTGACCCACTGTGGTGACTCCATATGGTGAAAATAAATGGAATTATCTTCATTTTCTAGAGTTATACAATTAGACTTTGCCAGCCATGGAATTAATTGCACTTTTTTTTTTTTTTTTTTTTTTGCTGAATGTCTAAAATGTTTTCCGAACATATTCTGTAAAGGTACTGTTATGACTTGGGTCTAGATGTCCGCTGAAGCCTCATGCAGTTTTAGGGGGTCCCTTTTTCAGAGGCTGAATCTCAAGGGCGTGATTGATTGGTGGTGCAGTGCTGAGATTCAGGCTGGGTGGCTGAGGGATCAGGCCACTGACTGGACTGGCACCAACCTAATCCTGTAGACTTAACGTAGTTCAGGGGAGAGGAAAAGCCCCCATCTCTCTCTGTCTCTGTCCTTCTGTCTCTGTCCCTGTATCTGTTTCTCTGTTGCTTTTGCTGTCTTCCACCACTATGACCTGCTGCCTGTCTGCCACGGTCCGCCCTGCCTTGGAGCCAGCCAACTACGGACTGAAAGCTTTACAAACTATGAGCTAAGAAAACCCTTCCTCCTTGAACTTTGGGTGATGGGTATTTTGGCCCAGCCACAAGAGAAAAGTAACTATCACAGGCACTGACAGATAATTTGGAGTTAAGTATTCACTCTAGAAAATGTAAACCTGTATAGCCTTATGTCTTTCTTTCTTTTCTTTTCTTTCTTTCTTTCTTTCTTTCTTTCTTTCTTTCTTTCTTTCTTTCTTTTTTTTTTTGTGGAACCAGGGATTGAACTCAGGCCCCTGCGCTTGTCAAGGAAGCACTTATTCCACTGAGCCATCTCCCCGGCCCCTAGCCTTATGTCTTGAAGTCAAATTGGGTTTGTATAAAAATAATTGTGATGCCAGGTGTGGTGCCATAGGCCTGCAGTTCCAGCATTTGGGAGGCAGAGGCAGGAGGATCTCCAGGCTGGGCTACCTACAGAGTTCAAGTCTAGGCTGAACCACATAGCAAGACCCTCTCTCAAAAAATAAACAAAAAACTGCTTACTGGAAACATTTGAGGGGCTGTGGAGATAGCTCAGTGGTCTAAGCACCTGCTTAAGCAAGTGGAAGGACCTGGATTTGATTCCCAGTACCATATGCCAAGCCAGTCGCGCCCGCCGGGCTCACTGAGCTGGCCACCAAGACTGGGCATGGTGGTGCCCCCTGTAATCCCAGCACGTGGAAGGCTGAAAACAGGAGGATCATTGCAAGTCCAAGCTGCAGAGTGAGACCAAATACATAAAATAAAAAAAAGAGTAGAAACATTTGACAACATACAAAGTAGTCTATAATGATACTGTTCAATTTTTATATTTTTGCTACACCCCTCTTTTTGCAAATATTCTCAAAAAGTTTGATAATAAAATGCATTTCTGTACTACCATAAAAAAAGAAAGCCCTTGAGGTACTAAGACATGGGGATTGGTTTCTGCCAGTCACCTGAGAGGTGGAAGTTTTCATCCATGGGTCCTTGTCCTCTTGTGCTGTCTTGCTATCCCTCCCATACCACAAGCGGTCAGGTTTCAGGTAGCCCATCTTAGAGTGCGACGCTCCCTTCCACCAGTAGGTGGCGACAGCAGTCGGCTGCAGGTTGGCAAACATTAAACTCAAACTGTAAGGAGAGGGACTTTCTGCCTCTGAAAATAGAGACTGTAGGTCCTTCGACAATTTTCTTTTCTTTCTTTCTTTCTTTCTTTCTTTCTTTCTTTCTTTCTTTCTTTCTTTCTTTCTTTCTTTCTTTCTTTCTTTCTCTTTCTTTCTTTCTTTCTTT